CCAACTAGGCCTTTTGTTCCGTTCAAATCGACCCAACCAACTCTTGAATCCGCTTCCTCGCAGCCTCTCTCACCTCAGTAACGACCACTCCAGCCGGCTTAATCTCATCAATAAGCCCAACCCCAGCACCGGCCCATTTCCCAATCATCTTCTTCCCTTCCTCCTCGCTCCACCCCGTCCGCAACCTCTCCCGGCTCTCCTCCACCGTCGCCGTCTGGCCGCCGAGGGCGTGATACTCCCGATGAATATCTCCTACAATCGCCCTCCCATCATACCCTTCCTTCCACAACTTATTATCCACCAATCGATCATGGAACTCCGACTTCCACGTACTCACCCCGCCGTCCTTGGTCCTCACAATAACCTCCTTATGCAACTGCGCGCTCATCGCCTCGTCCGTCGCAACGAACCGCGTGCCCAGCACAACCCCCTCAGCGCCCAGCGCCAACGCCGCAGCCACCCCGCTGCCCTCCACGATCCCGCCCGCCGCGACGACGGCGACGTCCCGGTCGGGAAACTCGGCCGCCAGCATGGCCTTCACCTCGGGCACCAGCGCCACGACGCCGCAGCCCCGCGAAAACTGGTGCCCGCCGGCGTCGACCCCTTGCGCGACGATGACGTCCGCGCCGTCGGCGGCCGCCTCCCGCGCCGCGGCGACGTTGCCGACCTGCACGAAGACTCTCGTTCCCTTGCCGCGGAGGGCGGCGATGATTTCGCCGTGGGGTTTGGTCTCTGGGTGCGGGGCAAAGAGCCAGGCTGCTGCGACGCCGTGGCGGACCAGGATGGGCAGGACGTTGGCCGTGAAGTGACCGGCTGTCTCGTGGGACGTGATGAAGCCCACGCCGAGCGGGAGTCCCCCCGCGCCGCTGCCGCCGCTGTTGCTGTCCGCGGCCGGGAGTGAGAGGAGGGTGCGGGCTTGGGTCAGGGCCTTGTCTAGGTCCGTCATCTGGGCCGAGGACTCTGAGAAGTCGAAGCCCGCGGCGATGAAACCTGGTAAGAGGAAGATTTGTCAGTCTGATGTTCTTTTTCATCAGAAGCCGAGAGAGACATTTTGGCTTGAATAAGGGAGGGTGAGTTCGCCCTTACCGAAACCACCGGCTTTGTGGACTTCAGTTGCCATGGCGGCGCCGGCGGACCCCAGCATCGGCGCGTTGATGATGGCGGGCGCCTTGACGTGGGGGAACCACGATACCAGTCTCGAGATGGCCATGTCTGGTGTTTTGTCTCTTTGTTATTTGCTTTTTTGCTCCCTTTTTGTACTCTTTTTTGGTTGTTCTAAGTGAGGGGTGTTGTTCCCCCGGGACTTTGTGAGACAGCACTATTGGAGAACTTTGTGCCTGTGACGATCGGGCGGGGTCAGCTTGATGTCTTATACACAGAACCTCGGAAGTAAAAAAAAACAAGATGTTCTGACTTCTGAGTGAGATCTTGGTGCATAGGTGAGACACGAAGAAGGCATTGGCCTACTTACTACGGCTGACAAAGATTGCCGGATCCTCGGAGAGATTTGTCGTCATCCCTCCTTCTCAGCGGCTCTCCTCGGTTCTCCAATTGTGGGAACCGTACAAACATCTCCGCGGAGGAAAGCGGGGCCGGGCGGCCGTGTGTTACCCGGGGTGTTTGTCGTATGCTCGGCCCGTTGCTTGGCATGTGCGCCGGAGGACACAAGTTTTGGAGAAGATGAAGGGTGTTGTTCACCTCTTGTCTGGAAAGAAAGGGCATTTCTCTAACAGCACCGAATAAGTCGTATTGCCAAGTACCTTACGTAGAAGCATTGTGAAGGGCAAAGAAGGTCACACGCGCATTTATAACATGAAGATGGTCTCAAACGTGGTGATAGACCCAAGAGAATTTTAGTTGGCATTCATAAATAATTGTTGAGTCAAACAGAACCGGCTTGAATGTGCCACATCTTTTCTCCGCAGAACTTCGGGTTTGAAGTGAAGCCTCATCCTCTATCGGTGAAAGATTTGGATCGAGAAGAAGAGCACCCAGAAGCGCAAGTTGATCGACGATGCGGAATAATCCGACATCGAGAAGCCCGGCGATGACAATTCTGACATCAAGAAGCCCGACACTATCTTCGATTTAACGCTATAAGTCTTAAACAAAGGCGCAGAAACTTCTTGCTGCGCTGAGTCCTGGTTCTCTTATTTGATCCGCTCATCTCGTACTTATATCACCTTGGAACTATAGAACAGGCCATTTAAGGCATCCATGGTTAAACTCCCAATTATATACTGGTTCGAACAGTCTTGGCAGTCATCTTTGGGGTGGCCTTGATCATGAGCGGGGCTGCAAATCGAGAGCAGTAAGTAAACAAAAGAAAAGATAGACTCCGATGCGTGAAAGACAAAAGCAGAAAGAAAAGACAAAAAGTGACAAAATGGAGATTCGTCCTGGCAAAATGGCAGAATATGGTACTACACCGAGATGCAGGGCGCGGTAGGTTTAGATAATATCAGTTTGCGATCTCTGGACGAAGATATCGCACGCTAGACCACTTGGCCAGAGTGCAGTGGCTCGCGCACCCTGACAGACAGCTCAACTTTACTCAGCTATGGGTGATGTGTGGAGTGTGTGTTCACCTCTTTGGGCAACCTTGATGACTTCTTCGTGTTCGCCGTGCGCGCTTTCAACAGTGATCGTATGTGAAGTGTAATATCTGTGCATTATTCGATTGGTATTTCGTATATGTACGTAATTACTCCGAAGTTCTCATTTCATATTGTCGTACACCGTTTTCGACCGCTCTAGAATCTCGGGATAATGGCGTCGGGCTTGTTCTCCAGCGCCTCGTCAATCTCCTTCATAATCTCGTCCGTCAACTTCTCTTGCGCACCGATAGCCCGGATGTTCTCGAACACCTGCTCGGGACTACTCGCGCCAATGATGGCGGAGCTGACGTTCTTGTTCTTCAGGACCCAGGCAAGCGCCAGGGTAGCCATCTTGATACCCAGCTTCTCGGCAATGGGCTCGATCTTGTTGGCCTTGTCAACAAGGTCCTGGAATTGCTTCTTGGCATTCTCTCTCTTCCAAAAGTCCTTGATGAATCCAATGTTCTCGGAGCCGAAGCGGGAGTCCTCGGGGATGCCGTTCTTGTACTTTCCGGAAAGGATACCCTGGCGCAGAGGGGAGAAGACGGTCAGACCGGTGCCGACTTCGCGGTAGAGGTGGAAGAACTCGTGCTCGACCTTCTTACGGTCAAGCATGCTGTACGAGGGCTGCTCCATGATGGGGCCGACAAGGTTCAGCTTGTCGGCGTAGCGCCAGGCCTGGGCGATCTCATCGGCGCTCCATTCGGATGTTCCCCAGTAAAGGGCCTTGCCAGTGTTGATCAGGTGGTTGAAGGCGCGGACGGTCTCCTCCATGGGTGTTTGGCGATCGGGACTAAGTAAAGTCAGTGGTATTCGTAAACGTGTCGAGAGGGAAACTCACCGGTGAGCGTAGACGAGGTCGACATATTTGAGATCGAGGCGCTCAAGGCAAGCGTCCATGGCCTCGATGACGTGCTTGCGGGACAGACCCTTGTTGTTGACAACGTTGTCGCCAAAGGCACCTCCCCAGTAAATCTATTGTGCATTCAGATGTCAGCCTCGGATTCCAGTGTCGCCAGGCCTTTGCGGGGTTGCGCACCTTGGTAGAGATGACGAGATCATTGCGCTTCCAGCCGTACTTCTTGATGGCTTGGCCCATGACTATCACAGAATTAGTCCTCCTTCTTTCGGCGAGGGTGATGTCGACTGCTCGTACCAATCTCGCTCTCGCCATTGGCGTAGCCCTCAGCCGTATCGAAGAAGTTGACGCCAGAATCGTAGGCAGCCTTCATGCACTTGAAAGTGCCCTCTACGTAGTTTGTCAGTCTCGTTCGCCTTCTGTGACTCGGGGTCTGCTCGTACCGGAGTCGACGTGGCCGCCGTAGGTCAACCCTAGTGGAGAGTCAGTGTCTGTCACAGTCTTCCGGAACACAATCAGGGCCACTCACAGCCTCCCAAGCTGATGGCACTAACCTGAAGACCAGAACGGCCCAGGAAGCGGTACTCCATAGGGGGAAGATCTTCGGGCTTGGACATTTTGTAGGTGATTCGAGAGTCGTTGGAGAAAAAGGTGGTGGAAGGGCGCGAAGCAAAGTGGAGGCGAGTGCAAGCTGGCAAGTCATGCGAAGAGCGGCAAGCACCTTACTTATAGTCAGTCCCCCTCGTCCGACCATCTCGTGTTCAAAAAAGAAGGTCCATTGGAGCTCCATGCCCATGGCCCATGTCAAAAGGCCACCGTGGGGCCCAACCTATTCCTCTCGTGGTTACAGATACTGCAGCAGTTGTTGAATCGCCCATCTCCAGTGGTCAAGCTCATGGAAGCGGGGCAGCCGGTATCAACCCCGCCATCCGAGTCCATGACCGGCGAGTTGTGTCACCGGCGAGCCATGTAGCCAATGGTCCCATTCCACGCTCAGCTGTTGGCGGGGGTACCGGTCCGGTACAGACACAGTTGTCGTGGTTTCACGCTGCCTGATCCTGGAGCTATGACGGGCGGGATCGAGCTATCCCGAGCTTGTTGCTTCGATAAGCAGAATGAGACGCTTGTAAGCCAATGTCCTGATTTTCTTTTTGCTCAGTCTCAAAGGGACCAATTGGTACCGTGTAGCACAGAATAATACTAAATATAACCCCCAAATAAATAAATAAAAAAGACATCGAGGTACGGAGTGCGGTAAGATAGACGAGGGATCTCAACGTCACCCGTGTCGAGGAACTGGAAGCGAAGTTGCGGGTGCTGTGCGCTAAATTACCCCTCCAGCTGCCCCTCCAACACAACCTTCCACCATTGCCCCTGCTATAATGCGGGCCCTTCAGGGATGTTTCATATTCTCGCTGCTCCGATTGCCCCGAATTTGCGAGGACCTGGCCAGCTTACTAATTCTTCAACGACGCTCCTCCCATCAAGGTGTCATGAAGCTATCTTTCGTTGCACTCGGCATCTTGGGGTAAGCCTTAAGGTAGATGCCAACCAACACGCTAGACCTCGGGTCGCATCCTAGACCGAGTCGTAACAAACATTTACGAGGTAGCGCCAATCTTGAACATGACTCCCCGCAGTCTCTACGACGGTGGAACGTGTATAGCAAAGTTCAACAAGCTGACAATTGAATGATTTCTCTAGGAAATGTTCCAATGATGATTCTTTCCGTGCTTATGGTGACCCGTGCTAGGCTATGATTGACTAGTCGCAAGCCAGGCCGCTATCTTTTCGCAACGAGATAGGTTGACGATCACTCTAGGCTGTAGCATTTTCAAGTCTCTTGTAGAGCACCCCAGGTCATCTCGCAAAACTCTGGCCCGGTCTTCCCATCACATAAGAGAGAGCTTGACTCAGCTACCACAAGGCAGCGTACTGAGGTAAGGCAGTGATAACAGTGCGAGTGATCAATATTTAGACGGTGATCAGCACACGGTTCAGGCAATTGGTTCAACCGAACTGTAAAGCAAATGATTCTCAGGTACGCTATTTCCGTCTTGCTTAGATCAGGCTAATAATCGAGCCCAAGACCTACTTAAAGATAAGCTTTCAGGCTTCATACTGATACCTACATTGATCTGAGCATTTCGGGCCATGGTATCTTCGTATTGAGGCAACGACCTCGGAACCATAGCTCTCAAGCCTGATAGAAAGCAATCGAAGTCTTGAAAAGAGTTTGACATAGACAATGGTGCCTGGACTTCTCGCAAAGAGCGCCTCACTTGCTATTCAAGCGTGGCTTTACAACATGGTCGAAAGAATCCTTTCGATTGAAGTATACCTCGAAGTTTTCCGGCTCCTTTCAAATAAGTAGTTGTGCTGCAAGTCAGGTGATGCCTCATGCTCAGGCTAGAATAGTGGCCAGTCTGTTGTGTAGGTGCCCTCAAGTGAGTTCAACTCAGCTACGGGCATTCACGACTACAAGAAACCCGCATCGTGAGAGCATAGGATTGGTGGTCTCGACGACATAAGCGGAATTCGTGGCTTCCTCTCCATGAGCTAAACCTGAATCTTTTTCCACAAACCTGTTCCTTTTCTCTTCTTCTTTTTTTCTTTTCACCATCTCACCACCAGAGCTGGCTTCATTCAAGTACGATCAGCTTTCAACACAATCACTTCATTTCCGCTTTACAGTACGCATCAAGATTAAGATCAATCACTGAGATACATATCGTAAGTCAAGTTTCATCTCTTTTCGTTGTTGGATTCATCTTGCTGTTTCTCTGTCCGAGCAAATATTCGCGATTTGGATCCATGCCGACTTCCTCGCAAGTTTTGGCTGTCCGAGCAGCTTCAGACAGCGAGGCTCTACATCGGTCAATTCTCGCGGTTTTGGACTACGGCAATTCTGAGAATTACTTTTCCAGAAAAGGCAGTATGGGTCTTGCGCTCCTTCTGCTTGTTGCCTAGTCCTCGCTCAGCTGTACCTTCCTTCTCCTTCCATACTGTCACGTTTTCTCTGGAGGGTTTTCTACTCACGTCAACACTTCTTTTTTTTTCTTCTGAAGAATTCAGATTATTGCTTTAAATTACTCTACAATCCTGCCTGTTTCCTTCTTTTTCCACTCTTTCTGCGCTTCGTCTAGAAGTGTCTCTTTTGATTGACTTGTTGGACCAGTCCAGACTCTGTCAATCAATTCTCTTCAGGATTCAGCAAACCAGCAATTCTTTCTCGAGCGATTACAACAAGATGTCTGATCCTTGGGGCACCACTGACGATGCTTGGGGCACTGGCAATACCTCCGCTGGCAATGGCATCCCCAACGATGACCCCTGGAGCAACCCCAAGGGCGGTGATGGCGGTGACGGCGGCGATGGAGGCGACCGTGCCTGCTTCAACTGCGGCCAGACTGGGTGAGTGATTGCTCCATATTTGACCGACACCAGAAGTTCCGCACGCTGACACACATGATGATGTAGTCACAGCAAGGCTGATTGCACCGAGCCTCGCAAGGCTTTCGATGGCACTTGCAACGCCTGCGGTGAGCAGGGCCACACTCGCCGCGATTGTCCCTCCGCTCCTGCCATGACCTGCCGCACCTGCGGCGAGGAGGGTCACATGCGCAAGGAGTGCCCCAACAAGGGTCCTGATCTTTGCCGCAACTGTTGTGAGGAGGGTATGTTGTTCACTATCTTGCAATATTGAGACTTGGGACTAATAGTTACTTTATCAGGCCACGCGACCGTTGATTGCAAGAGCCGTCGCAAGATCGACTTCACGAAGGTTGAGGATGTCGATGCTGACAAGGCCTGGGAGGAGATCCACGAGGCTATCCAGGAGCGCGACGGCGTTGAAGCCAAGGAGTCCATCCAGAAGTACCTCAAGCACTACCCTGAGATGGGATATGTCGAGCTGGAGAATGCTTTCCGCGCCCAGGAGATGAACATCTACCTCATCGCCACTGAGCGTGTCTTGGCTCCCACCCACACCAATATGGATCTCCAGGGTAACTTGGACAAGAAGTACACTGTCCAGTACCGCTTTTCTGCGCAGCCTGACCGCCAGCGCGAGAAGGCTAACTGGCCTGCCTCCCCCGAGGAGAACCTGGCCCGCCTTGAAGATGCTGGAGAGCCCGTTTCCCGTCTTATGCAGAAGTGCAACAATTGTAACGAGCTTGGTCACAACTCCAGGGAGTGCCCTCAAGACCCCATGGAGAAGGCCCGCGTGACCATCGCCTGCTACAACTGCGGCGAAGAGGGTCATCGTGTTCGCGATTGTGAGTCTGCCTGCTTCACCCGATGGTTTGCATCACTGACCAACTGATCCAGGTCCTACTCCTCGCATTGACAAGTTCGCTTGCAAGAACTGCGGGTAAGCAGCCAAGTTCGCCGCCGTTCTTGATGCGAAATGACTGACATATTCTATAGCCAGTCTGGTCACAAGGTCTCCGATTGCACTGAGCCTCGCAAGGCTGGTGATGACGTGGAGTGCAACAAGTGCCACGAGAGTAAGAAGGCTTCCTTCATCCAGCTTCCTTCAGAGACAAAAGCTAATCATCTACAGTGGGCCACTTCTCTCGAGACTGCCCTCAGGGTGGTGGCGGTGGTCGTGCATGCCACAACTGCGGCCAGGAGGGCCACGTCTCCCGGGAGTGTCCTGAGCCTCGCAAGATCAAGTGCCGCAACTGCGATGAGGAGGGTCATCTCTCCAGGGATTGCGAGAAGCCCGTTGACAGTAAGTTGCCCAACTAGCCTCGTTGACTGCATGACCCTGACACAATGTTCCTTAACAGTCACCCGCATCAAGTGCAACAACTGCGGCGAGATGGGTCACAAGAGTTTCAAGTGCCCCAACCCTCCCAAGGAGGACATTGATGACTTCGGCGCCTCCAACAACGCCCCCGATAAGGCCGATACTGGTGACGCTTGGGGTACCGGCGGTGGCTCTACCGAGGACACTGGCGCTAGCGGTTGGTAGATGCGTCCTTAGAAACGCATTTGCAAAGGGATTGGTATGGTGATTCTCTATTTGGCGTTGAGGTCACGGCATTTCGTCGCTGTCACGGCAGACGACAAGGTTTTCGATGGAAGGAACGGTTGATAAATTTCTCTCTTGCTTCGTGATTGATGATTGGTACAGTCTCTCGGTAGATGGAGATACATAGAACCAACGCAATGTTCATGAGCACGACCACATCAATCTCGTGTGACTGTGAATGTCTCCATGGGCAAGGCTGGTCAGATCTGATTGAGCAGGTTCTTCATGACTGGCATCAGTGTCTCCCAGTATCGAAGGTTGTTATTCATGTTGCATTATAGATTCACATCAAATATTGACGTCCGCATGAAGATGCAATCACCGCAAGTTGAGTAACAGATAATCAGAGGATGTTACAACGACTTTGTGATACTAGAAGACTAATCGATGAAGCAAGATAGTCATCGGCATTACTCGACATGAAAATGTACCCATGTCCAACAACTCTGTCCCTCTTCTCGCTCCGAGTTTCTCTTTCTCTCTCCTCTTCTCTGTGCTGCGCTGCTCTGCTCTTGGTGTCTTTTCCGTCGTGTCTTCTTTCACCCGCGTGCGTGTTTAGCTCGCCAACCCTTCCTGTCTTCCCCAGAGTTCCATGCCCCGTTCTTGGTGTTTCGGGGGGGG